CTCTCTCTCTCTCTCTCCAAATTGATATTATTTTCATCATTTCTTCTTGTTCTTCTTCCTCTTAAAAGTGACATTATTTGCTTGCCTTATTACGCTATCTAACCTAGAAAATTTCATGGAGATTATGATGCATATCTTCTTGGTTGCAAAGAGGATTATCCAAAGAATTAGCAATACTTGGCTAAAACTCCATGGTCTCAGGAATAGATTTCAGAGAATACAGTTTGGCAGAGAGACAAAGCCTGACAAAAATTTCTCAACTATTTGTTTCAGGATGTTCCTGTCCCCATTGCTGTCATCTTCCAAGGCTATTTTTTAACCACTGCCTTGAGGATTAGCAGCTGAGGCCTCAGAGTATCTAAAGGAGAGACTGACTTTTATTACACATAGCCACATACAAAATGCACAATTCTGCCTTGTGTAATGATGAACTAAAGGAAACTGGAAACGGAAAAAAAAAAACAGTACAAGAAATGATTAAAAATAATGGAAATTTTTTCAAATACAATTGAAATGAAAAGCTCAGCAATGAAGAAGAAATATTGTGCAGAAAGCATGAAGGGATTGAGATCCATCAAGCCAAATGCTGCCTACAGTTAAAATACATTGGTTTGCCCAATCTGACACATCATTCTTTTTATATGCCATTTTGAAGGGTGCATTCATCCCTTGAAATTCATTCCCCAATAGTTATCAGGTGACAAACATCTGTGAACCAAAAACTCCACTCTCTGTTTGAGATGATCACTGAGAAGTGTAAGACTCATGGAGCTGTTTGTAAAGGAAGGCATCCAAAAGTATTGCATGGCTAATTATTCAAATCCTAGACACACTTAAATGAGAATCTTGGATAGAACATGTTTCTAATTTAAAAAGTTGTGCAAGTCAAGTCTCTATGTATCTCCTGTGTCTAATTTGATGTCCTCCAGATCTGGTGCACATATAGTTCCTAACTAAAATGGGTGATGATTATGTTGGGCAATAAATTGAGAACTTATAGTCAAACAGAAGCAGAAGATGTTAGTTTAGAAAAGGTTGGTCTTTATGAGCAATGTTCCATTCCAAGGTAATGGACTGGGAAACTATGGGAAAGCCTACTAACAGGACATCAGTATTCATCTGCTTCACCAATTGATATTCAGGGATGTATGGAATTATGACCAAGGAAAGTTGTCCTGCATGAAGAATAAGAGATTGGGTCTGGATTTGTCAATTTATAAATTGGTCTGTATTAGCAACGCAGTGGCTCAGTGGCTAAGAAACTGAGCTTATCAATCAGAAAGGTCAGCAGTTCGGTAGTTTGAATCCCTATTGCCACGTAATGTGAGTGAGCTCCAGTTACTTGTCCCAACTTCTGCCAACTTAGCAGTTTGAAAGCAGATAAAAATGCAAATCGAAAAATCGGGACCACCTTTGGTGGGAAGGGAACAGCGTTCCATGTGTCTTTGGCGTTTAGTGATGCTGGCCACATGACCAAGGAGACGCCTTCGGACAACGCTGGCTCTTTGGCTTTGTAATGGAGATGAGCACTGTCCCCTTCAGCTGGAAATGACCAGCACATATGTGCGAGGGGAACCTTTACCTTTTCCATCTTCACTATGAGTTCAGAATAGGTTGAAAAAGTCAGAGACATTATTTTCGTATCCAATTCTAAATAAGTTGCTGCATATGCAGAAAAGCCCACCAAGTCCTAGTCTATAAACAACTTTGAAGAAACTAAAAAAAAAAAAAAAGCTAAGCAGTTAAGTGAAAGTGATAAGTGTTTGAATGATGGCCACCAGGAAATATACAGGTTGCTGGCTAGAAAGAAAAAAATTAAACTAAACATCCTAGGAGAAGTCAGTGCAAATCATCCCAGATGAATCAAAGAGATAAAGTGATTGAGATATCAGACAAGAGTGAAGAAAGAACCAAGAATAATAGGATTGAAAGGGACCGCAGAGGTCATCTTGTCCAACCCACAGCTCAAGTAGGAGATCCTATACCATTTCAGACAAATGGTTGTCCAGTCTCTTTTTAAAAACCTCCAATGATGAAGGGCCCACAACTTCTAAAGGCAAGCTATTCCATTGGTTGATTGCTCTCACTGTTAGGAATTTCCCCTTAGTTCTAGGTTGCTTCTCTCCTTGGTTTGTGAGTGAGCACCTCAAAGAATGAGATTCTAATGAACTGTCAGCATGGGTAGCACACTATGTGACTTCAGTTCAGTCATCCAGTTCAATCTACTTCTCAGGCTTGTTTGTTTGTCATAGCTAGTAAATCAATAAATCAGGAAATATTACCACCAAAGAAAACCAATCAATCAGAATAGAGCTGGAAGGGACTTTGGAGGTCTTCTAGTCCAACTGCCTACTCAAGCAGGAGACCCTATACCAATTCAGACAAGTGACTGTCTAGTCTTTGTCAGCTTTGGAAGCCATATTAGCACCATACACTTCCACACTGCCACATTCTTGAGCCTGGGAAAATGGGAGAGGGGAATTTCTTGGAGTGTATGTGGTTAGACATAATATCATTCTTCCTCTAAGTCAAGGTCATGTTATTTCTGCACCTGGCTGAGGAGTGCTTGAGGGGATGTTTCAAGTTAGGATGGATGGTGATTGGGGCATGCAATGAGAGGTGGAGGGGTGGATTTATAATATTTTACTTATTGAAGGGAAACTTTCAGATTCGGGATTTCCCAGATGTGCCAATTTACTACTCTAATAAAAGGAACCTTTGAGAAGATGCCTGTCTCGGAGTTATTTGTTGGAGTTGAGGTTTTCTGGAATGCTGACAGTCTCTTCTTAAAAACCACCCATCATGGAGCACCCACAACTTCTGAAGACAAGCTGTTCCAGTGGTTAATTGTTCACATTGTTAGGAAGTTTCTCCTTAATTCCAGGTTGCTTCTCTCCTTGAGTAGCTGTCATCCATTATTTCTTGTACTCACCAGCAGTCCAGTTTGACGTAATTTTCATTTTGTAACAATAACCTGGGACATAGGTCTACACATAAAGAGAAGCTGAGCCATATCAGGCTTTAAATAAGTTTTGAACAGCAGTAAATTAACACATAAAGAAATCATTTGAGTAGGACTAATTATATTGTGAAAAATGGTTTGCATGGCAAAGAGGACAGCACAAATAATGTCATGGTGTGACAGCTAGAGCTACAGTCACACTTATTATTTGGTTAGTCCTTCTTTTTAAGACAAATGATAATGCCTGAAATTTTTTGTGACATATGGAGACTAATAAAACCAGTACAAAATGACAAGGAAGACAGCCATTGTGATTTATCAAACACTTGTGTCAACATATGCTCTTAAAGTTGGACAGAAATGGATGAGTGTGACATTATTTCTTCTTTGGTTTATGGACTTCTGCTAGAGTTGTTGGAGGTTATGTTGGCTTCAGTAAAAAAAAAAAATTGAAGTTTTTTTAGCAAAAAAAAAAAGAAGAAGAAGAAGTAAATTCCAAGGGAAGCAAACAATGAAAAAGCAATATTATTCCTAGATAGGTGAAGGTTGAAACTACTATAGTTTCTAAGGAATATAACGCAAGTTATTTGGACTACTTTCATCAGATCTAAAGATGCCTAGTCAATTATACTTTTAAAAAACCTAAATGCTAGAACAATGAGATGTCTATTTGTTCCCTTCCTCCCTCTCCCTCCCTCCTCCCCACATCTCTTTCTCTATCTCCCCTCCCTTTCTCTTTCGCTCTTTCTCAAAATACAAAACATGTTATCTCATAATGTACTTAAAATGTACTTTTATATAGTTTCTTTTAAAGTAGATCACCTACATAGATTACCACCTATCTTTATAGTGAGTAAAAGAGTGAGCATCATACCCTACAGTTGGCCAAGAGGGAGAAATGTAATATACATTTACTACAACAATAATGAGTTTTGCAGCACCTTCAACACAAAGAAACACATCAAGACATACAGTTTTCTGCATAAAGTATGGAGTACATTTTGAAAAACATCCATGAGGTTTGTAAGTGCTGACTTACTCATGGTTGAAGAATAAGATCAACAGATAATGCAAGCAATCACCTTCTTAATAATGGTTATTTACAATAATTGTTAGGCAGTAAGACAGACATTCTTCCTCTGGAGAGGTGAAGAACACATTAGCATGATGAAGGACTCTATCTGAATCTGACACCTAAGATATATTTGAACTCATAATAAATTATAGTTCATCAGTTTTTCATTGCCGTGTATCTTTGAGCTTTACTTGTTCAAGCAGAGGTCCCTTAAGACTGATATCAAAGTGATCTAGGAAGCTAAAATATTCCCTCATTCTTGAAAACTGTCATATTGAATGAGGTACAATCAAGAATAGTCTAGGGGTTTCCCCCCCCCCCCCCATCAAGAGCAAAAGGAATTGATGGCAATTGATGGCTGATAGCATATTGGATGAAGAGCTGTCCATGAATCTTTCTTGTGAATGTCACAGTGAGAGCCAGCAATTAGGTATGAGGATAGAATTTGGATTTGATCCACTGGAGCTGGTCTCCTTTCATCTCATTTGCTTTTGGTAGCTATATAAGAAGATTGGAAAATAAATATTATCAGGGGTGGGCTTCAACAAATTTAGCAACTGGTTCTCTGCCCAGTTGCTGGGTGGGCATGGCCATGATGGGCGTGACCTAGTTGGCCTCCTGCATCATGGGAGGGGGTGTTTTTGCCTTCCCTGGGCTCTGGAAGCTTTCCTCAAGCCTCTGGGAGGGCAAAAATGGCTTCTCTGACTCCAGAGGCCCTCTGGAGGCTGGAAATGGGCCGCTTTCTGGCCTTCCAGAGCCTCCGAGAGACCCATTTTTCGCCCTCTCTGAGCCTCTGCACAAGCCCTGCACTTATCTGGAATCCAAAATGGGCCACGTAGAGATTCCTGGGAGGGGCGGGGCAGGGTGGGTGGGGCCAGCCAGTCGTTTCAATTACCGGTTCGGTGAACCAGATGTAAAATTAAAATCCGGTTTTCTCAAACTGGTGCAAACCAGTTGCAGCCCACTCCTGATTATTCTCTGAAATGAGTTTAGATCGTTCGTGGATTTTAGTTGGGAAATAGATAGCGAGAACATGCTTTCCCCTCTGCAGAAGTTGTTTCCTCAAGTGCCCCATATCAATCAGTTCTTTTACTGTATTGTAACAAGCAGTGTCATCTCATTAATGTGGCATTTAAAAG